GATTTCGAGAAAAAGTTCGTAATGGAAGACGGAAGTGAAACGGGACGAAACAGAGGCGGCGACGGACGGCGCTAATTATCGATCATTATGCGCGCTGTGGGCGGGTAATTGGGATTTATGTTCTCCACGATAATCCACGAGTAATATGGAAGAGAGGGTGAAGGAGTAAAGGCGAACGAGGGCGGCGAAAGTCCGACTTAATGTACCACAGGTTTCGTTTAATTGTTATTTACGTGAAACGATCACGCTATTCTCGGGATCGAAAGGTGGCAGGAGTGCAGAACAAGTGGAACAGATAGAGATAGGCAGGTAGGCACATTGTTGAGAGAAAAGGAGAAAGAGAGAGAAAGGGAAACTGGCTGATTTACTGAACTAATTCGCGACAATTATCAGGTGGAAGAAATAGTAGCCCGAATCACGCGGATCTGTAAATCTTTCGAATGCCTCTCGCGACTCGTGTAATTCGACTGTGTGTACACGCACACAAAGAAGATTTCGTTGATATCGTAGAAAATAACGAACGAGGATTTTTATTTTTTATGACAGGATTACTTACGAGAAGAAATTATTTTGATGCGTGTGGTAGATAGTGAGTTGGATATTTCTACATTTACTTTAGCCTTTTAACTATTTCCGCGTTTCTTAGGTCTTGCGCGCGGCAATGGTTGCAATTTATTATAATAAGAGGAGAGGATGTAGCTGTTGTGTTGTTGGTGCGAGGCAAGATGATAGATGGAGAAATGGAAAGACGTGATTTTGACGATTTTTTAGGTTATGAATGTGTTTAACGATATTTAAAGATTGTTACGTGAGCGTGGAAGATCACGTACAGAAGAATATAAATGGAAAGAGACTCTTAAGTATTTATTACTCGACATACTGCAATCTAAGCACAATGCAATATGTCAGCAGGAGATCTTTAAATAATTTTTCATTAGAAATTTACGTACAAGTCAGGATACTATCGAATACATAATAAGTTATTCAATATTTCTGATATTTTTGAGATGCACTTTGATAAAAAAGAAAAAGTACATTAAGGATTGATTTCAAATTGATATTTAAGAATACATATATGTAGATTTGTTATAAATATTTATCAAGCCTAGTGTGAAGTTTTTCTTCCTAACATATTTACAAAACAAAATTTACGATATTTACAATAAAAAATTATCAATTTACATTATCAACACAAGATTTAGAATCAATACAGATCATAAGAAATAAGCTATGGAAAATCCTGCAAAAATATCAATTTATCATACATATATGTATTGTCGATTAATAATGCTGATAATGTCAATAAACATCGAACAGCATCAAATTTCAATATTTTTCCGATATCAAAGTTAATATATAATATTTCCAAAATAAATTAAAATCAAAGGAGAGGTCACAGTCATCGATTCCGATAGAATTTTTTCTGTCGAATCTAGAGCAAAAAATAAGCCATGTTCTCTTTTTTAAAAACCATTTACCTGTAAAAACCTCTTAGCATAAAGAATTTTTAGACGTGTTTAGTAACAATTTTCAGTGTGTAAAACATATCGTGGAAAACAAACCTAACTTTTACATAATTATCTTTATTACTTCTTAAATTATTACATGTTTGTAGAAATGGAAAGACAGCCACCTCATTATCTGTATTCTGAAGAAAATTCAAGGGTACAGCACGAGTTGGCCCACCGTATCAGAAAGTATTTTATAACAATCCTCGTCTCATCAAATTACAAAACAGCAAACAGATAAAAGAACGAACGTCTGATACAATGATTTCGCATCGTTTATACGGAGCGTCTGTACCTTACGCTTTTTTCCGGTTACCGTGTCGCCGTCAGACGAAATGCCGGAAGTTTCGATACCGGCTATTCGCCGGTGTAAAAGCCACGACAACACCGAGCAATCTACCGGGCAATAAAATCGGCGACAAGCAGTGAATTCGTGACACGACGACCATAAAGGGATTTATGCGCACGTTCGAAAAGTACGGGCGACGAGGTCGTCGACTACACGGCCACGACCACGGACAAGAAGACGATACGATAGCAAACGATAATGATAGCTAGTCTCCTGTTACTCTTGCCCTCGAGTTTCATCATAGAATCTTGCAAAAGTCTCGACAAGCATAAATTTTGTCATAAATAAGCATTGCACTTTGCGAATGTGTCCCGTTTATAATCTGGAAAAATCCTCAAAACCACGTCTTTTCATTACTCCAGTCGTTACGCAAGTAGATACAGACGATAATTACGAACCTGATAATGGTTGAGCCAACTAAGCCAACCGATCACGATATTTGCGATGTAGAAGGAATATTAAACGTTTCTCGAGAATATTTATGAATTGAAATTATCTCGACTAGAAGTTGCTTGTTCCGTTTAAACGATTAACAGGAGTACAAGTCGAGTGTGGCTACATGGCGAAATACGGTATGACGTTTTATGGCTTCTAGGAGCCTGACTGAGGAATATTGTTCCCGGGAAGTGGACCTGGATGTGGTTCGTGGTTGGGAGAATGTAGAGAGAGTTGGAGATTTTTGTGTTAGAGTGTGGAAGGAATTATGATGCAGGTTATGACGAAGTTGGTGTGCCTTTGGTATATTTCGATGTTTCGAGTATAGAACGATCGATGGAAAATGTAGTTACGTGCGATTGAATTTTTATCGTTCGAAGAATGAAAGGAAAATTTAGTTGATCTTTTGGAGACATCGATAAGCTCGAATTCTTACGAGATACTTTATTTAAGGCACTATTCGTAAAACCAAACATATTTCTCTCCTTCTTTATCATCAGTATCAAAATTCTAAGAAGCTTTTAACACAGATTATATAGAAAAAAAATCAATTCTAATTCTTCTTTATACGCAACAACAATAACAACAACGATCTTTATAATCTAAATCGAACATAAATCAAGAATTTACAAACTTACAGACTAACAATAAAAACAGACTAATAACACTTTGGCAATTCATTCAGTATCGTTATTACATTTGTAACGTGAAACGATCGATTATCAGATGTTTTCAAATGTTTCAAAGAAATTCGAATATTTGAAATAAAAAGATTGGATCAAATTCAACTGGAAACCTAACCAGCCCCTATATTTTTCATATTGGAAACACAAGCAACAGTAATAGAGGAAACAAACGCGAGAAGAACACTGACATATCGCGTGTTATCGAGAGACAGAGGAACGGCATCCTTTCGAAAATGAAAGAATCCTGATGGCTTTTTTCCTGCTTTTGTTCCGCGCATCGATTCCGTCCAGCATTCGTATCCCGACAACTATTTTACAAACCACCATTGAAACAGTACTGTGTGGATCTACGCTCTCTGTGTGGATGTGTACGTGTTTAAGATCCGGTATCGAGAGGGATGACGAGAGAGCGAAGAGAGAAAGGAAAAGGGACTGACGCAGTGCGCTGGAAGGATCAGAAAGCCAAAGATCCCGAAGACAGGCACAAAGGGCAGACACGGCAAAGAAATTGCATCGCACGCTAAATCTCGGACGTCAATGCAACCGCCTAATCAATCTTCAATCGACACGATTGATTCTCTCCCCTTTCAACCGGCGACTACTTGATCTCGACGCTTCTCTTCGTCGACGACCTCTACCATCTCGACGTCCCCCGGAAGCTGCACCTCTCTGCTCTTAATGCACGCTCGTGTAATGCTCGTCGATAATGACAGGAAGGAGCGTGAGTGGCAAAAAATATGCAGATAAAGTCTTTACAGTGAAGACTTGTTTGATAGATTTTTATAAACTTTTAAATTCTTCATAGAATTCTGGTTTGACATGCGGATAAATATAGAGCATTTCGCAGAACTGGTTTAGTGATATCTTTAGAAATGGTTACGCGTACAAAAGAATCTTATGGAACAATATATGGATAAAGAGTACTTTTAAATGTGAAGATGTGCCTGATAAATTTTGTTTGGCTTTCGAATAATGGATGTAATTTTAGTTTGACATACAGACAAGTACATAATGTATTTCGCAGTACTTGTCTAGCGATAATTAAATTTAAAATTGTTATACGTATAAAAGAATATTGCAAGGCGATGCCAAATATTGTTGAGAGGAATATACGCAGTGCAAGTGTTCCTCTAAACCTTCTGACTATTTTGGTTTAGATTTTTATCACAACTTTGCAACAACTACTTTCTTGTACGAGTATTATAGCGTGTAGTATAAATAAAATTTAATCACGATAAGATAAGGACTTTTAATAGGCAACAAATATTAAATGAATCTTTCAGCATATCATCGTAATGAATAGAAAGTTGAAATTCGAGAAAGGATTAGATAATAATTCATTGAAAAAGAATTTTTTGTCTAGCGGTATCGACTTCTAATGGCCTTTAAGAAACCTTATGCAGCTTTTTTTGTTACAAATTGAATTATGTTTTTAAAATTGTTTCATATCTATACGTATATTCTATATCGTTAGTTCTTCTCGTTTAAAATCCATCTTACATTTAATATAACAATGTGTAACTATATTCAAAATAGTTTCATTAATCTTTGATAACATCTTTTCGATCCATCCAGCAAAATACAAAATCTTTAACATTTAATTCTGCGTTGTCCAATAAAGTCGTTCGTGGTAGCAGATTGAAATTTCACGCGATTCAATCTCTCGAGCCTACCGATATATTCTACACATACGCAAATGCAAAAAAAAAAAAAAATCGAAGAAATTCTTTTCTCTTTTCAATAAGTCACAGGGCACGGTAGCAATTCCTGGGCGATTTGACGTGAAATGGTTCGCGCCTGTTCGTCGTCGATCAGCAATTGAGCAAACAGCGAGTGTTAATAAAACGCGTCGAACGCAGCCAATCCGATTACGGGCTTGAAATGTTCACGTATCGAGGCATTCGTCGCCCGGCTCGAAACTCATTTTAATCCCGTTACCGGCCGCGTGATTTACGAGCTCTCCATGTAAATTGCCTCATTCTCGAATGTCTAATAAAACGTAGAAAAATCGTGCAAACTCACCGCGCCGATTTCTCGCCCTCGTAACCCTGCAGGCTCCTGTGTTCATCCAAATAGTCGAAGAGGTTTTCCAACTCGGTGAGCTGTTCGTTCCTCGCAGCGGTCGTCTCCTTCAGGATCTGTAAGAGAAAGGGGGAACCGGTCGTCAGGACACGTGGTTACGATTCATGGTTAACCGGTTAATTCGATGTAAAAAGGATTGATAGGCGCCACGAGTTATTGTCTCGAACGGTGACTGGCTGAGTGTCTATTCGTGAAAATTTTTAAGAAATTGAATATCTTGTCCCGAATAGAGAGGCAAGAAGGCGTGGAAGCGAAAGGAATCGTTAAAAGAAAATATAAATATAGTATGGAATTGTACTGTTGGGATGTTTATTGTGACCTTTTACTATAACCTATCACCTTTATTTTCTTCGTGAATATCGTTATTTTGTAATAATTTCTTATAGTTTCGAGCTTTGGATATTGATATCGATTAATATTTTTCTATTGGAAGTATCAAGGAGATTATTTAAATTCTTCTTGACTTACAAAATTAAAACTATGAGATAAATATCTTTTAGTATCTCTTTCACGTGTCATAATAAAGGAAGATATCTCGATGAACTTTTACCGATTAATTTAATTGGTTAACTGATACAATACTTTCTTACCAGATACAATAATTTCTTTACTTATGGCTCTCCCAATTTTCAACCTACTCGTTCCATTTCTGTTACAATTAAACTATATAATACATGAATTTGGAAGAACCAACACTGATTTGATTTTATTAACATCTAATTCCATTTCTAGTTAAAAGATGATCCAGTTAATGGGCTGAAAACTTCTTGATGAAAATCAATCTCAGACAGCCAAGCTAGTTATTAGGACTATCGTCCTTGTTTAAACATACGGATATTCAAATTGCAGATTCATCTACATCTCGTTCTACCATTTCAAGTATCTTCACGTTTCATTTCCATCACTGTCTCCTCTCTTGCGATTTCTGCACAAATTGTACGTAAAACGCAGAAAGTAACGGATAGCTTCCTATAAGAGTTCGCGTAAAGACAGCATAAATTTGCAGCGCGTCGCGACGATGGCATACGTTATACACATATACCATGCATAAAAATGGTATCCATGATACGCCGACGTGATTTACATAAATATAGTACTCCTGCCTTCCATTACGTCACTACGACGACATAAGGAATCTCTCTTTTCCGACGAGTTCTCCGGAAGCCACAAGTGCGTGGAACGGAAAAAAATCGACGTCAGAACTGTATCGTCAACGATAGGAATAAATTCAAGGATTCACGCGTAACGCATCGATGAAGCGTGTCCTTCGATCTCCATCTTTTCTACATTTTTTCCATCGATCAATGTGATCTTTTTTTTCTTTTTTTGTCATCTCCAGTTCGATTTACCTCGCCGAGTAATTATACAATATATCGACGCCATTACGCGTTTGATAAGTTACGTGATATTTAATACTTGACTTTGATGAATTAGCGAATTTTATCTCCCTTTGATCGCGATGAATTATTAATATTGTTTTTCATTCTTATCTTTTCACAAAACGGTGTGTATGTGTAATAGGTATCATTCTGGAAAATCACACGGGAAATGACGAGGAGAATAAGAAATAAACGTCTTCTGCATTGGGGAGATCTTTTTAAATAGAACCTGTATTGTTGACGTCATCTTTTAAAATCGATGGATGAAAAGTTACCTCAGATGACAATATGTAATGAATTAGCCTGCGTGTTCTCTATCTTCCTTTCTATCTAATCTACATAAAATAGACGTTAGAATCCGACATGTGCTAATGCACACTTCGTCGATCGTGTGAAAGAGACCAATGCTATTTCCTTGACCCTTACATTCTAGAACATGAATTTCTTCTCTCTAATGGGAGGTGTATTGTAATATACTAAATCTGGCCTTAAATTCCAAACTAAATGAACTTCGGAAGAAAATCTTATTGAGAGCGGTTATAATCAAATATTACAAACATTTTCCTTCGTAAAGAATTCAACGAGCTATAACAAAATTTTCATAGTAAGCTCATCTGAAATCATAGTCAATGGTACCGACGTTTGTATAGTTGATACCAATGAGTTTAAAATTCGTTGAGAAAAAGAAAATATCTTATTACCTATTTTTCGTGAAAAGAAATATACAACATTGCTAATTGAGTTTAATGATACAACACGATAAATTAAGTACAGTTTTTCTGCTTTCTCAAATATTATCCAAACTTCAGAGAAATATTTCATTCGCACAGCAATAATTGAAACACAACATCATACGAGACTCTCACAAACCAAACTGACTAACTTTTTATTAATTTCTTAATTTCGTTACATACGTACACGATTAACATTCGATTCTCAAGAAACAGACGATATACTTCCGTAAGATGACATAAATAATGGTGAATTGCGAAGTGAATTTAACTAACGATCATCTTTTTCATACTTTTCAATTCGACAATTTATCCATTGAGAACGTGGCCTGCGAACGTGCGAACGCTACCTATGAACAACCTGACAACGTGCGAACGTTGTCTGCGAACGTGGCCAACGAATTTTGATTTTTGTCCCAAATCCTCAATGAAATGCCGCACTGTGGAACGCTTGGCAAAACGAAAGAAGCAGAGCAAAGAGAGATAGAAACGGTAGCGATGGTACGGGGTTCGCGACAAAGCGGGGCATGGGGTAGGAAAAAAATATCGAAGGTAGCGTCCCTCGAAAATAAAATCGGTTTTCCGATAACTGGTTATTTGCTCGCACAAGTGGCTCGCTGACTGGGCGAGCACATCGGAAGCGGTTTTCGCGTGTAATATTATCGAGTTATCGGCGGCAGAGGGGGGCATTGATCGGCTGCCGGAGGGACAGGGAGGAGAGGAAAGAGACGGGTGGAGGAGACAGCCAGAGAGGGTGGAGGAGGTGGAGTAGGTGGATGCGGAGGAATAGGGTGGGTGGAGAGGGCTAGGCGAGCGTGCACTGCACGAGCACAATATATCCGCGTGATTACAATATGTCGGGGCTCGAGAGACCAATATCAACCTGAAGTCGGCTCAGCCAATGCTAATAATCCCTATTGTTGGTGCCTCCACTCGACTGCCTCTCGCGATCGGATACATCTTGTTTCGAAATTTCGAATTGCCTCGTCGTTGCGTCCACCTACCGATCTTCTCTATCTTCCCGCGAGCGTCCTCCACTCAGTATCGTGGAATTTTTTTCCACGCAACGTTTTGCATCGAGGATCGTTGCTAAAATTGTTTGACGTGGGCTTGAGATAGTTGTTTTGTGGAGTATTAAATAGTTTCCTTTTGAAAAACGCGTGTCGTTGGAGGGAAGTTTGAAGGTATAAAGTTTCCAGGCTGGATTTTGTCAAGTCGATAGTCACATTGTGGATATTCTAAAGTATTAAAGTAGCATTCCCATTCGAAAGAGTTTAATAATTAAATACATATCAAGTATACCAGTCGAGTGTACATTAAATATAGCGACTTCTGATTTTAAATAAATGATGAAGGATAAAACATTTATGTATTTACGTATTAACGTACATCAATCTTTCTCGACTACTTTAAAATAGGACAATAGAACAAGCTTACAAATCTAAAAATTATTCCTTTCTACAGAACGATTTTATCAGAAAATTATGACAAAGTATTTCATAAGAAAGATGAAAATTAATTCTTCCCATAAATACATCGCACGTTTGATCTCAGGTGTCAAGTAACCACTTGAACTTTGATAAAATGTGTAATAATGTAACGGTTGGAATTAATATCAATAGTTAGCGTAACAATCGAGCAGCAAATTGCAACAATTTTCTTATAATCTGACCAGCGATCGTTGGACAGAGATTGCATTAATTGAGCAATCCGTTTGTTACATTGCAGTGCGTGCCGTTAAAAGACGGGCCATAATGGTCAGGTATAAACGACGAAAGAAACGAGACTTGTCCTCGACGTTTATCCCTGGCGTCGGCAAGCCAGGCCTCCTTTCACACGTCCCACACGAAAGACGACGAAGCTCGATCTCTTTCAAAACAATTACGCATTCTTCAACGCCAGTTCTCCCACGTCGACATTATCGTCTTGCTGCAATGTTCTCTCCAGGCTTGCCTACACTATTTTCAGAAAAGACCACGGAAGGCTCGACGTTTACTGCTCATCATTCTTACCGAATTGTTTGTTAAGAAACAGATCCCTTTGTTGTTAAATTACTTTAATTCGATGACCTTTTAGAATCTTTATTCGGAGTAATTTTATTGTTATGGGGTCTCCATAAATACACTTTCAGTACTTTTGTAGTAATAGTAATTGCTATTAATAACAAGTCTTTTGTCTGTTTCAGATTTTGAAAGGAAAATGTAGAACTCCTCGTGCAGATGTTACAGCAATGTAAGTATAAACAATGTGTAATATTATTATACAATTTTTATAAAAATATTAAAAACAAGTATTAAATATTAAAATATTGTTGTTATTAACATAATTGAATACTATTATACAATGTACAACAATAGTTGCATGAAAGGTATGAATACGAAGTTTTATGTTTAGATCACAAATTCTCATTTTTTAGTAAATAGAAAGACGTATATTGTTTTAACAAAATTTCCAACAGTACATCCTCAGTGTCCTCAATCTTAAGTAGTTTATTAACGAAAGAAGAATACGATTGAGTGGAAAATGATCGGAGGTTTAATTATTAATTGCATCATAAAAAGAATATAAAGAGAATTCTATTTTATACGAAGATTAATAATACTATTTTCCACATAGTCTATATCTTATCAAGAAGTGATAATTACAATACAATCAATTTCACCAACGCACTGGCACAAAACGCAAATATAATTCATACAAAATTCCACCCAAGTAGTCATCTACCGTCATATTTCACGTGATTTAATTACAATTTTAAGAACCGAACATTAATCTCCATAACAACTAGATAGAAATTTCGAAGATACCAACCTTCACCGGTCGAAATGATGGCAATCGAATATCTCTCGTTTAATTCACCCAGCTAACCATACCAAAGACGATACCTAACGCGTTCATCCACCGTGTGCATATATGTAACTACATCGTCCCATTTTCAGTCTACAA